CGGGGTGGGGGGGGGGGGGGTGATCCCGACTGAGCTCCACCAGCACCCAGGGATCGCCCCCCCGGCCCCACATCAAGTCTCCCTGCCCGGGGTGGGGCTCTGGACTGGGGTATTGCAGCTCGCCCGGGAGGGGGGCGCAGGCCGGGCCGCGAGACCAAGGAGAAGGTGGGTCCTTGCTGGGCTTGCCTCATTGCTCAGCAGCGCCTCCCAGTCAGACACCTGCAGGATCTCCATGCCCCAGCGCTTCTCCAGCAGCGTGTCCCTGGCGATCACCGAGATGGCCCGCAGCCCGAAGGAGGCAAAGAGGTTGGCGTGGATGTAGTTGCGGGTGCAGCGGAGTTTCCTGGGCCGGGGCGAGAGGTGGCTTTCAGCAGCAGGGGACGGAGCCGAAAGAACATACCCCTCCCTCGGAGAGGGCTGCAGCCTCTCGGGCCGGCAGGGCAGGGGAGAGGAGAGGAGCACGGCCAGAGGGAGCTCTCGGCCTTGCCAGCCACCCCTCCCCAGGCAGGACTAGGGAAAGGGCCAGGCGAGCTGCAGGCCATGCACTGCCTGTTTCTCCCAGCAGGAGGCGCTGGGGGGCATGGCGCAGGCGCTCCCCCGCAGTGCTCCCGTCGGGTGGCCGTCCCCCTCCGTGCGGAGCCGCGGGAGAGCCGCACACGCCCCCAGCGCGGGCCCTACCTGAAGACGGTGAGGATGAGCAGGGCGGAGACGAGTGCGAGGAGCGACAGCGAGTAGCCCACCGTGTACAGCACCTTGAAACTCACCATCAGCCGGCGGGCCCCCTCCTGGCAGGGCACAGGGCCGGGTCAGGCAGGCAGCTCCCCCATGCGCTGAGCACCCCCAGGGCACCTGCCTTCCTGCAGCAGGGCCCCCTGGGACGGCAGGCTCGGGTCCCGGGCCCACAGCGGCCTTGTCTCTGGGCTGCTGGGCCCCCCCTCACACCCTCCACCCCAGGGAGCAGAGGCCTGGGCTGCCCAGCCCCCAGCCAGACAATGGCAATGGGATTAGTCCGGGAGGGAGACACGAGGGGGGGTCAGCACCCCAAGAAGGGGGAGGGAAGGGAGCTGTGCATGTGTGTTTACATTGACCTCTGTTTCTGAATGGTCCCCCCCATGCGTTATAACATGCCCCTCCCCCTTCCCCTGTGCGTTATAACATGCTCCTCCCCCTTCCCGTGCGTTATAACATGCCCCTCCCCTTCTCCCCTGTACATTATAACATGCCCAACCCCCCACCAAGTTATAATATGCTCATCCCCCTCCCCTGCTTACAACATGCCCATCCCCCTCGCTCATGTGTTGTAACATGCCCACCTTCCATCCCTCCTCCTGTGCTTTATTACCCCGCCCCCCCCATCTATCCCTTTTGTTTCCGTCTCCTGTGACCCCCAGACCCCAACACCAAGACTCCTCTGCACCCAGCACGGGCCTGGTGTGTCAGGGGCTGGGTGCTGCAGCCTCAGCTCCTGCAAGGTGGACTCCATCTCCTCCTCGCACTGAGAGTAGTCCCGCCACGGCTGCGTGCCGTTCACCATCACCCACTGCCCGTCCGGCCCACACTTGCGGCTCACCAGCCCGTGTTTCACTGCGGACACAGAGCAGAGCAGGGTCCCCTTTCAGGCTGACTGCCTTCCCTTGGGATCCCCCTCCGGCAGGCCTGGTGCCCGGGCCTCCCCAGAGCTGGGCACTGCTGTCATGTGGATCACAAACCCGCCTGGAAGGGAGTTCGTGTGCGGGGCGGCAGCCGTGTCGGTCCCAGAAAACAGAGAGACGGACACAGCGGCTGAGGTCGTATCGTTTCTGGGAGAGACAAGCTCTCCGCCTCCACGGGCCCGGCTCTGCTCCCAGCCTGGCGAAGCGGGGGGAGTAGGCAGACGACGGTGCCCCCGGTGGAAACGTGTGGGTCTGCAGAGCTACTGGCAGGGGCCAGGCGAGCTGGCTGACGAACGAGCCCGTTAATACTCAACGACCCTGGAGTAGAATTAGTTTAAGCAACAGGCTGGGGTGAAGAGGAGGAGCCAGCCTGCCAGTGGCTAGGAAGGCGTGCGTGGGTTTGGCCTACGCTCCCTTACAAACCACAGGGAAATAAATGGCTGCAGCTTTGTGACCATTTCACCCCAGCCGTGGGCAGAAGGCTGCAAAATGGTAGCGTGTGTGTGACGTAGTGGGGGTATCGGGCTGCTTTCTATGCGGGCTCTGTGGTAACCCCACTGGCTGCTGCTGGTACCACGGCCCAGAAGGACAGGGAGTGAGACATTATGCAAAGAGGCCCTCTCAACCGGTCTGACCAGCTACCCCCCAAGGAGAGAAACAAAGGAAGGTGGATGCTGCCCTGGCCGGGGGCAGGGCTGGAGGAGAGGGAGTTAGTTTTCTCTCTGGGAGCATGGAGGAAGCAGCCTCAGTAACAGGCTGGGGGGGTCTAGAAGCCGGACCCCCCCCCATATCAAGGGGGGCTGAGGCATCCTAGGCCTGCCCTGGAACCTGGTGACATCTGTGCTGTATCCTGGAGAGGCAATAAACTGCCTCTGTTCTACCGGCCGGAGGAGTCTGTTCGTGCCCTTTCGGGGGTGCAGGAGGCGGGGGACCCCAATGTGCTGTCACAGTGTGTTCCCCATGCTACGCCCCAGGAAGGTAAGAAGAAACCCTCATGTGCCGCACGGCCGGGGCCTCTTCACCTCCTTGGTTTAACTCTCAGCCAAGGAAACGGTGGGGAATAGTTGGGGAATTTGGCTAGGTCTACACTAGGCCTTTTTCCGATTTCTTTTCGGAAGAGGCTTTTCCAAAATGTGGCCCATCTACAGATCCCCCTCTATCAGAAGGACCCTTCTTCCTCTAGAACAAGGAAGACCGGGCTTCCGAAAAAGCACATTTGCTCTTCCGCAAAAAAACCAGAAGAGCAGACACGTTCCCTGGATGCGGCGGAGTTTTTCCCGGATACCTCCAGTATCCCGTCCCGGATACCTCCAGTATCCCGGAAAACCCCGCAGTCTAGACGTACCCTTTGTGGTCAGCCTGAGGAGGTTCCCGGGGGATTGTAATTGTGGTGTCCCTCTGACACACATGCCAGGAGAGAGATTAGTGTGTCCCCTCCCTGACGCCAGAATGCAAAGGCGATTACTGTCTGAGCCGAGGTTAGCACTGAAACGGCTCTGAAATCGGCCCTGGCGCTGGAATCTGCCAGGAAAAAACCTTCCGAAGCCTGGGGAAAGGGAAAAAGCAAGCAGGACAGACAAGGGTACACAGGATGCAACCTGGGAAAGCGACCCAATCAGCTAGCAGGCAAACACGCCCAAAGGTCTGCAGATTTAAACATGAAAAATGTCACATCCACAGATCGACTGGGCATGTTAGACGACTGCATCAAACTCCAACCAAACGAGCAGGTGCATAAAACCATGATCAAAACCTGCCCGTGGCGTCTTCCACGCACTGGAGAAGGAAAGAGGGAAAGAAAAGGGGAGAAAGTGTCTTCCACTAGCTATAAATGAAACAAATCTTTCTGAAGGCGATCCCATTCATCTTGGCCTGACTACGGGGCGGGTGCTTGTGCATGACTTGAGCGCAAACCCGGGATGCAGCATGGCTATTAGGAGCCAAGAGGCTTGTGCCACCGTCTCCAGTGCTGAAGCAGAGGGTACAATTAAGCCTCAGAGAAGCAATAAAGATACTGGGAGCCGTCAGGCAAAGGTTTCCCGCCAGACTCAAATAAGGCAAGCTCCATTGTCATTGGTGGCTGGAGGCCCTGGCCAAAGGGCGAGGCTGGTCGGCCGACCTTTCACTGGACGGGCAGGGAGACACACATTGCTTGCAAGCAGAAGATGATGCAAGTTCTGGAATGGATTTAAGTGCGCGTGAGGGAGATTTCAAGATGAACAGGCCGTTTCAACAGGCACAACTGCTAAAAAGCGACACACACGTCGGGCCTTGCTAGTTCAGACCCAGCCCTGTGCCCCCTGTTATGGAAGAAAAGTGGAAGCCGAATTAAAAGGGCTACGGGCAATTGGTATCCGGGGCCGCCGGTCTCCGTTCGCTTGGATTTTGAAAAGCGGCCCAGCGGGATGAGAACTGGCCCTTGCCATTCAAAAGCCTTTCTAATGGGTTGAGGGAGCGGGAGGACCCCTGGGGCCGGTGTCCGTGCTGCGCTGCACGGTGCGTACCGCCCCACAGTTACAGCTCTTGGAGTTTTGCACCCGCCGAGGAGCTAGCCGCACCTTCTGGGGGTGCCGCCTGCAGGGGGGTGCAGCCCCTCGCCAACGGTCAAGGCGAAACTCCGGCCTTCCTTCGGTGGAGCTTCAGCCAGATCTTTGGGGCATCACCGGTGCCCTCACTTTGAGCCAGTGTGCGCTGGTTTCCCTTCCACTGGCCTGCAGCATTGGCTCACGGATGCTATGGAAGCCAGAGGGCGCTGCACGCCGTGCACGGGGACCGCACGTTAGCTGTACGCCGGTCTCAGAAGCGCTCAGCTCCGGAGCCTGAGGGTCTGCTTGCTGTTGCAGCAGGAGCCCTGTTGAGCACGACCCTGCCTATCCACAGGTGGACTCTCTCCAGGACAAAGCCGCAAGCCACTGTCAGTACTCCCCAGGGCCCGTTTCCCTTGGGGGTCCTCAGCCCCCACCCTTTCCAAAGACTCCTGGCAGGCCTGAGTCAGAGAGGGCCACGTGTGCTTGGGGATGAGGGGCCCCTGGAGGAGAGCCAGGACTGAGAAGGGCCAGCGGCTGAGGGAAGACCCGGGCCAGGCTCCTAAAGGGAGGAAGTTGGGGGTAGGATGGGGTGCAGGGGGAGCTCTACCATCGCTCCCTAGAGAGGAGGGCAGTTGCGCAGTCCAAAGGGGAGTTCTAGGGGGAGAGGGGGCCCAGGGAGTCGTGGACTGTGGAGCTGTTGCCTGAATAAAAAGCCTGTTGCTGCTCAAAGAAGCTGGGGTGCGCCTGGTTGGCACTATCACCGCGACCCCCTCGGCTGGGGCCTAGGGCTGGGGGAGCCCCAAAGGACCCAACATTCAGATGCTTCTCCCAGCCTGGAATGGAGCAACCCGGCCCAACCCAGCCGCCCGGCTCCGGGGGATCAGGCCCCAAGGCCAGGGCCCCAGGACCCTTGGAATCATGCCAGGTGTGTCCCCACGACAGCCTCTCCTGCTAGCAGGGGAAGAGGCACCCGAGGGTGCTCAGGGAAAGTGGATCCGCTGGGTGCTACTCTCTGCCCTGCTGCTGACTCATTGTATGACTCTGGGCAAGTCAGCGCCCTAGGCCGTGCCTCAGTTTCCCCATCTCTCCAGTGGAGCGGACTGCGACTCGCAGGGGAGCGCTGAGCTGCCGGGACGCCGGTCGGTTACCTTTCTCGAACCATGGCAGGTAGAAGGGGCAGGAAACGTTGACGACGCTCCCCGGGCTGCCGTCCGGCCAGCAGGCGTACATGTCGAAGGTCCGGTTGCAGGAGAGCCCTTGGAAGGATAAAGGCGAAGCTCAGGTGGAGAGAGGCCTGCAGTGGGGCGCATCCCCGTTGTCTCTTCCCACAGGCAGGGCCAGGGGTTACCTTTCTCGAACCATGGCAGGTAGAAGGGGCAGGAAACGTTGACGACGCTCCCCGGGCTGCCGTCCGGCCAGCAGGCGTACATGTCGAAGGTCCGGTTGCAGGAGAGCCCTTGGAAGGATAAAGGCGAAGCTCAGGTGGAGAGAGGCCTGCAGTGGGGCGCATCCCCGTTGTCTCTTCCCACAGGCAGGGCCAGGGGGGTTGCGCCCTAAGCTGAGCCCGTGCCGCATCCTTCCCC